AGATCGCCTCACGTCATTCTCGCCAAACGAGAAGACCGGGACTAGATCCGCACTGATTGACAAAAGAAGAGGGAGTGCGTGAGCAAGTGTCAAAGCCAGTGAGTCAGGTAAACTGAGTATCAAAAAAAAAAAAAAGCAGGACTGCACATGCCCTTCGCGGATGGCGAGCTTGATGAAGCCCAACCTACGCTTCAGCGTAAGATCAGCAGTACCGGGATGAGCCGACAAACTTTCAGCGGCGCCACCCACAACAATCACCAAACAATTTCCTTCGCCCCTGTTATTAGCCACATCCAATGCGAGGTCATTCTTAGATTTGAGAGTGGAGATACATGATTTGATAGAGACGCAACAAATGCCGAGGGCTAGGATGAGGTCACGATAGAATGGAATCTGAAAATTTGTCTTGAGCGTGAGCAAGTGAGGGTTAAGATTCGGGAATAGTTTTGAGAATCCGGTTGCTAGTGATTTTCAAAGTTATGAGTTGATTTGATGATCCGATTGAGAGTATAGAGACCGATTAGGGTATCACTTACCATCTGTCGAGAAATTTGCAATCGCTCCCCTTCATTCCAAGTCACCCAAACCAAACCGCGTCAGGATCTTGAACTTAAAGGCGAACCAGCGCATCGGTCTGATTTAGTTACTCACATGCCGATGATTCCATGTGGATGATAGCCTGATTTCAAAAAATCAAAAAAACTCGCAACTTGGTCAGAATCACCTTGACTATATCAGATAACTTGGAGCCGATTAGGTACCAAGACTGACCAAAAACATACTTTCGATCGCTAGGTAAATCGGCGGTCTGAGAGAATCATTCAATTACATCCAAAAATCTGATTGGACCCAATCGATTCAAGACATGAGCAATAGACATACCTTTACTAAGCTCACGGGAAAGTAAGACGCGAATAACTTCCAAAACGTCCACTCGCGTACCGATTGAATCTTTCGTCCACCTTTCTCAGGTGCTTGATCGATAAAGTTGATCCAAATTAGATAGGGGATTAAGATGGGCCAAAAGATGGGCATCGACCTATTATTGATAGCGATTGAATAAGATTGACAACTTAGTCGAAAGATATTAACTTGGTGAGAGAGACATAGAGAGAAAGAGTGATGACTGACATAAGATAGAAAAATAAAGAGATGCAAAATGAAAGCTGAGCGGTCCAAATTACCACCGCCATGGTTTGGAGTCGACGCTGGGGAGGGACTCGGATAGGCGCCCATGTGGGTCTGAGACGGTCAATAGAAAGAGCAAAAGAAAGAAAAAAACCCGAAATGAGTTCTGACAGCCAAGCTCAAGTAAGGTGTGAATGAAGGTGGTAGACTGACTGAAGATGTTTTTGATCAGACTGAGGTGAGCTAGGGTCGGCTTGGGCAGGGCTCTTGGGAGGTGTTGACATGGTGTGTGTTGATGGTGGTGGTGGTGGTGGAAATAAATTGTTTAATTAATTAATTTGTCAGAATGGAACGCGCCTTCTCGAGAGCTCGGCGTGGGTCGGTAAGTGATCGTCCCCCAACCAGTATGTGCTGACACCTGTCATTCAACAAGTGTCAGCATGAGACCCGGTGACTGCACTGCACAGTAACCTATTGGTTAGTTCTACCATAGACCATTTGGCTCACATCCATCTGGCAATGAACATCGGTCGACAGTCTTGGTCCAACAAACACCAGAAGGGTGCCCTTGAGGGACTTGGGATGTAAATTGAAAGTTCGGATAAACATAGGCTTATTAGGCTTTTGCAAAAGCTAAGGGAAGAAAACAGTAGTCTCTACATACAGTTTCATTCGTTTGTCCTTGGATGCCCAACGAAGAAATCTTTCCAAGACAAGACTTAACAAATCATGATGAAGGATTTTTCTTCTTTTACACTTTTTCTTTCAATCACTTCAATCAACACTAGGTGGACAGACTTATAGGAGTGAAATCGATGCATTACTATATAGACACACTTTACGTGCCATGGAGTCACTCAAATCCTTTCAACACATTTTATTCTAGACAATTGTTTGATTCTGATGAGTAAGATGGCGAGCATCACAAGTTCATCATGATACATCGGAGAGACAGGTGGATGGACCTTTGTAGCACCTCCATGTACCTGCTCAAAGAAAGTACAAGCTCCTCACACTTGGTTAAGCTTATTTCGAGATGTTGGTGAATGCGAGTTTACTTCTACAAGCAGTACCTGAGACGTGAATACGCTCAAGAAACATCATCCCACAGAGCAGGAATCTCTTTGACGTATTTGAAAACTTAAAGTCCACCATCATTTAGACCTTTGAAATAATCAAACATACCCACTCTCAATCTCGTTTAAGTTCTTTACGAATCACTCGTACGCCTTTGCCTACTTCTATCACAAAGATCTCCAAACCATCTCCGACTTCGATATGACGCTCTGTCGCCCCCGTGAAAGCATCGGTGACCAAAGCCTCAACCTTTTCTAGCGGTAGGTCTGCCCTTGGGGGTGTATATGACTCTCCCTTGGCATACGTCGGTTCGGGTGGTGGAGGTGGGCCGTTGGGATCACGCACCATGTTCTTGCCACCAACCTTGATTGCGCGGAAGAATTGACAGATCAACAAAAGCACTCAGAGCCATAGACCCAAAAGAAGATGTAATGAAGGTCTTGAAGTGGGACAAGTGGGTTTGACTGACCTGATTGTCTAAGAAAGGTTGGACTAAACTTTGAGCCGCTCCAGCCGCTCTACAACTTTCACGTTCATAACTTCCCACTGGGTCGAAAGAGTACACAGCCCCGGTGCCGTCGCGATCAATTCCGGCCAGAATGACGTAAGCGTAGTAAGGAAAGAATCTACGACCGTAAAGCATAGTTTGAATGAGGCGCGCAATAGACTGAAGGGACGGGTGAGAGGCGTGGGTGTGATGATACCACTAGACATAAAGAAAAAAAAGCCAAAAACTTTATGAGTATCATAGCTATAATTGGTTGATTTTAACCTCGTTTGAACTGTCAAGGCTGGATCACAGACGAACCTGGAGACGTTGTTTGATCTGCTTGACAAGCTCCTTCCCGTCGGCAGCAAAACCATTGACGGCGATACAACATTGTTCCGTAAGTTGAGTCACCTTAGGCGCATATCGAGTTTGAATGGAATATCCTTCGGATTGTCGTGTATCACCGGCGATCACTGCGAACGATTTCGATGAAATAGCGAGGATGGTACCGCCGTTGTCCTTTGAAAAATTGTGAATAGCCAAGGCTTGAGTTTAACGTCGCGAAAGAAATTCAGAGAGAGTCGGTTCAAGATTATAGAACTTACGGCGTAGGGGTTGAATTGGTGACCGACTGGCATGTTGTGGGCTAGCAGTGATAAGTTGGGCTAATCGAGAGTTGCTGGGATCGAGGAAGTGCGTTACCTTGCGTCACCTCTAAGGCAAGGTCAGGTGATCATTACAGTAGAGTTTTATGTACAGTGTCAATACAGTTACAGTATAGCGTAGTCTGACTCACTCACATGTAAGTAACGTCGTCAGTATGTCCACTTATGACTCCCAGTGCGTTCCGAGTGAAGGTGACCTCCCCACAAGATGAGTTCTAACCCCAACACACCCTCGCCCTCCCTCGCGGGCCAGATCCTCCAACGATCCTCTTCCTCCACACCTTCCCTCCGATCGCTCCACACCTCATCGAACGTTTCCTACCCTCATGGTTTACCTTCCACTATACCAAAGGTCGGCACCAGTGGCGATCCAGCCTTGGCGAAGCGGCGAGCCAGGAACCTACTTCGTGATTATTACGGGCTCGCTGATACCAACGGAACAGACAAGAAACCTGATGGCGTTCCAGCGGAACCCTCTCGGCCCGAATCCGCTACCACACCCGATTTATCATCGATGGACTCGCCCAACTTTGATCCACAGGCATGCTTTGTGAAACTTGTGAAGGAATCTTCGTTAAAGGATACGCTTGCGACAGCGAATCGTTTAATGGCAGAGATGCGCGAGTTGGATGGTGAACGTCAGAGTTTAGTGTATAATCATCATCACGAGCTAGTGGAAGCAAGTACGACGATCGGAAAAGTGGGTTGTCCCGTCTATAATTCTGATCGTATGAACAAGCTCTCGAGAACATGAAACTGACTATGATAGAGATCACTTCAGATGAAGACGAGTGCAGAGACTCTAGATGGGACACTTGACGAGCTTCAAAACTCATTTGCAGCAATCTCCGAACTTACTACCGCTCTATCTACCTCTTCAAGACCACGTCAAACCTCTCAACCTATTGACCTGAGTCAGACCTTTGATCCCTCGGTTCATTTGCTCCCACTCATCAGTCTACCTACTATCTTACGCGCCTTGACCCATCATCGGCCTTCGGCAGATCAACTCTGGGGCGAATGGGAACCAGCCTTAAGGTCATTTGAGGAAGCAGGAATTGAGGGTGCTCGAAGGATTGGGAATGAGTGCAGGGAAGTACTGAGGCAAGGTAGAAGTAAGGAAACTCGCTCAAATGGTTTGAGTCCACCTTCTCCTCTCAATGATATACCATTATCACCGAAGGATAGGAATTAGATGTCATATCATAACAGGCATGATGCCATACATACAATGTATGTACAGACAGGGGTTACACCACCCCAATAGAGTGCTTTATTTTGAATGACTTATAGTACCTCAGAGTAAGTTTATGCACTTGCTTAAATCTTCTGCAATGTAGGTCTTGAAACTCTGACACTCTATTGGGGGCCTTTTCAAGTCTACTCGGAATTTCCGAGAGAGGGATATAGTATTTATGCCTATTTGCATTTCTATTGATGCTGACTGAAACTGTGAAGTTGGCGCACCTCGTTATTTCAGGCACTTTACATATTTTGATGTGTACAGGTGTGTGTTTGCAGAGACAAAGAGACGCAATTTAGCGCGGTTTCTCAGGGTCTCTGTAGAGCCCTAGCAAGCAAAGTGACACGATTCATCTTACTAATGGCTTACATAACCACTATCCCATCGATCCGCACAGGGTTTGGTGGTCTAGTAGTATGATTCACCCTTAGGGACACAGGACTCCTGTTGTGACTTGGGTGAGGTCCCGGGTTCAATTCCCGGCCAGACCCTTTCTTTTAAACTCACTCTGGCAAACCCTTTTCTTTTCTTTTTTTTTTTTTTGAATTCAAATCAAAGTGTATTCTATTACTTAAGCTGTGATGCTATTTATTTAACATACTAATTGATCTTTTTTTTCTTCACCAATAGAAAGAAAAAAAAAAACCTCAGTTGATTATTCTAAGGAAAGGTTTTTTCAGATTTAAAACTAAACTTTTTAACTAATGACAAAAAAAAACTTTATTGAAGGTTTTTTTCTTTTTTTTTTTTTTTTAGTTTTGATATGTGACAAAAAAAAAAGTTTAGATCCATTTGTGACTTTTGGAATTCTAATAAAAAGATAAACAAAAAAAGAAAGAAAGAAAGAATCAGCCAAATGGTTCCCCTTTTATCAGTGCCTTTTAACTATGTTTTCACAATGTGGAATGTTACATTTATGGTTTTTCAAATCTCACAGGTCTCCATTCAGGAAGAATTCCCAAGAATGTTTAGGAGGTCTGTATGACCTGTAGCCTCCTTTATGTAGCTCATGTCACAAAGGGAATTTGTCCACACTAGATGTTGGGTGCATTTTCTGTGGACACTGTGAGTGGTTAAGGAGAGATCCTGCTGTTGGATTTGAACTCTAACAAACAGGTGTTTGACTTGGCCAGTGTGTGTTCAAATCCCATTGGTGTTGCTTTTTGATGCTTGTAAAGTTTGTGTGCTCCCTGCTTCATTTGCTCCAGGTCTTGTCTTGCTCCTCCTGGCCATGACTGACTCTTTCTTAACATGCAGGAGCTTTGTCTGCAACATGCAGGCATAAGGTGTGTGACCAGGTGGGCTAAAGCCTGTATGTGACCTGTCACACCACATGCAAAATGGTGTCACAAAACCTGTTGTGACCAAGCTGTCACAGGTGTGGTGGTGTCTCTCCATTTTTCTCACTGTCGCACTAAACCTTTGTGACATTGCCTTTGGTGTTGCAAACTTTTGTAAGACTTCGAGATAAGTTTGAGCACAAAATTTGACCTGGGGTATCAGGTTAGTACACAGGTGCTTGAAGGCATATAAGCCTAGTGGTGCTACTTGGAGCTGAGAGAAGGTTGACTAACCTGTGCCAGAGGCAGCAGGGACCAAGACAAAATAGAGGTTTGAAAAGAGATAACAAGTAGTTTCTTAGAGAGAGAGAGAGAGAAAGAAGATATAGAGGCATGAGTTTGAGTGAAATTGATTTCGAGAGGTAGGATGAACAAAATACTTACAGATTCCTCTTATTCTTAATTTCGATGGAGAAAGAACAGAGGAATCTGTTGTGCAGTGACCTTATATATCCATGTTTTCTGAGGACAGTTCAACACTTCTGGCCTACATGGCTTGTAGTGTAGCAACCACATGGTCCAAACCCACTTGGGTTGTTTCCCTTGACTCTTTGAAACTGAAGTTAAGAAAGATTAAAAATTACTCAAGCTGAAGTTAGCTTATTCCCACAGATCATAGAAACCTCAAGCTTTCTTAAGCTTATTCCCAATACAACATATTAGTATGCAAGTTTTTGTAAGCAACTTATTCCTGAAGTTTCAAGTCCTAATGGGCTTATTCCCAATGTTATTTATAACACTTTTTCTGATACATGTATCCTGAAGTTTTTGACAAACTTGATACATAAGTATTCTGACAACTTTTGCTTCCAAGCGTCAACAAAAAAGGACACCAAAGTGATTTGAACCTGCACTGAGAGTTTCAAACTCCCCTTCCCTAGATTTGAAATCCAATAGCAGGGTGTCACCTAACCACTCGCACTACATGCAAAGAGGTGATGCCGCACCCGCGGGGTCGTGGCGACGCTGCGGGGTGGGTCCTCTGAAAGCCCCACGGGGTCAGCTGACACCCTCTAGAACACCCCTGCGGGGTCAGCTGATGGTGCTTATATTGGTTAGTTTTGGTAAATCATGATACAATCAAAGGTCAGATCTCGGTTGAACCCCTGGTATGATACTGTCCTCGTTTACAATCGCGCTATTTGAAAAGTGAAGGGGAAGGAAACTTGAATGTTTTGTCATTCGGATGCTTTACATGTAGCATAGTATAGCATACGCCTTTAAAGCTCGCGGCAGAATCACAGAGTTCTCGCTTCAAGGCGCGTCAGGTCTTTGGATTGAATGCAACCAAAATGTACATAGAAGGATGTACCGATCGAAGCCTATACCATATCTCAGCATGCACCGCCTCCTTCATCACCTTTTATGTTTGCCTCTGATTAAATTCATATAATTGACCTGTGACAAGCCCTGTCTCTTGTCTCATTCTGCTGAGGCTAGACTTGTCCTCAAAACCTGTCAGACTGAGTTCAGTCTCATCACCATCATTCCTCTAAGCAAAAGTTCAATCTGCCGATTGTAGACAAATTCATAAGTTCCAACATCAATACTTTACTATCCTACATAGTTACAACATGCCTCTCTCAATCTCTCCTGGACGTTTCATGTATCTTCAAATAGTTGCTACAATGGCTCTCATGTTGGCTTTGCTGCCAACCCAGGCTCAAGCCCACCATCATTGCTCAGACCGTTTCGAGTGGATCAATGATGACGATGACCACGATTTTAATTCGCAATTATTTCCAAAGGACTGTATCAGTGACAGAATCTCGACTGGTCAGATTGTCGGAATCATACTTGGGTCAGTAGGTAATTACTGATTGATCACCTATTCCTCAACATTATAAATATAATGTGCTTTCAAAAACCCCACTGCCAACAGAGCGGTCCTAGGATGGAGATTCCAAGGAAGAATGGCCCCCGAGGTAATGATGCAATGGAAATCTTGACCCTGATCAATATTTCGAGGTTGTTGAGAGTGTCGAAGAAGTGATGTGTGAAATAGACAATGAAGCCAAGTCAAATGAGGGTAGGAGTTCAGGATGGCGTCAGCTGACCCTGTGGGGCTTTCAGAGGACCCGCCCCGCGACCCCGCAGTTGCGGCGTCAGCTCTTTCGGAAATGGTGTCTTGCTATGAGCACCGCCAGCAAAAATTACTCGGACAAGGCTGTCCGAGAACACCTCGGACAGCCTTGTCCGAGTAATTTTTGCTGGCGGTGGAGGGGTCACCTACAGGATTGAGTCCACCCAGTTGCACACCTTATGCCTGTGAAAATGCAGTAGCACACATCAAGTCAGGCTAGAGGGATAAGAAATGCTAATACCAAGTAGCCTCCAGCGCTATCCTTCATCCCTCTTGTGGATCCAAGATCTACTCTTTCCCTAAGCTCAATTATAGCTGGGAAAGAGTAAGTCACCTACTCTTCACTTAACATTTCTCTTATTTTACTATTCCTCTGTCTGCATTTTTCTGACAAGTACCTGACTTTCACTCTACATTGAAATTGGCTGTCCACAAAATATATTATTTTCTGTTTCTCTTCACTGACAGCCTGAGTTTATTTATCCCACACTTGACAATTTAGGTTAGAATAGAGTTACTTCTTTTTCTCATGTCTCTCATTCCTTTTATCCCTAACCTTCACATTGCTGTTATCTCATTTAGGTCAGTGTGAGCTTGTGATCAGGGTTGAGGAGTTGCTCAACCCCATTTGGATCACTTTTGTATCAGGTACTTGATTGATTTCTTTGTTGTTTTTCCCTAAGCTCAATTATAGCTGGGAAAGAAATATATTGTTTTCTGTTTCTCTTCACTGACAGCCTGAGTTTATTTATCCCACACTTGACACTTTAGGTCAGTGTGAGCTTGTGATCAGGGTTGAAGAGTTGCTCAACCCCATTTGGATCACTTTTGTATCAGGGTGGCACTGGAATTCTTCAATGCCTGCCCAATTGATTGATCAAATTCAAGAAGTGCCCCATGAGGAACTGATGTGCAACTTGCTCTGGTCTGACCCTGATGATTGTTGTGGCTGGGGTATCTCACCTAGATGTGTGGGATACACCTTCAGGAAAGATATTTTCAATGCCTTTGACCACAACAATAGACTGCCACTCATTGGTGAGTTAAAATGATTGATTTCTTTGCACCTGGGCATGTTACTCAACATAGCATGCCCAATGGTTTCAGGGGGGTGGCCTCTGTCAGGCTATCTCCTGGCTAGGAAGTGAGGAAGGAATGGTCAATAGACTTATTTCTCCTACAGAAAGTTTCAAATAGAAGTCTTGGGAGACCCCCAAGTACTGAATTCAGCTAGTTGACCTTTTAATAATGGGTTTACACTCTTCATTAGAGGACCTCCTTGTAGAGGATGTGGATTGTCAATAGAATCCCTTTGGAATATATTTTAGGAAGGAGCTGCTGCAGTTAGGCATGTATCTAACTACCTGTGGCTCTATTCCCTTTGGTATCCAGCAGGAGGCACTTTTGCTGCTGTTGGTGGTTTACTCTAGCTCTTGTGGTGCTGGGGAAAAGAGATTCTCAAGTCAAGGTTACCAACCTTCTGGTTGACCATTATTTACTTCCACCTAATGCACAGTGCACTATTGAGCAGATATCTTATTTGTATAAGAAACCTCAATGGTGTGCTATTTGTGTATTTTGGTGATTGTGGTAAAAGCTGAGGAGGGATCTTCTTCTGGCTTTGAAAGGGAGGGTTTATATACTTTGTCCTCAGGCCTGTTGCCCATTATCAGAATAATGAGCCTATAATTGTTGCTCTAGGATTATCCTGGTAATCTTTTTGAAAACAATTTTTGTGGTTACCTAATTATTATTAGTCTATTCATTTGGTCTTGTCATAAGTATACTTTACACAAGACTCTTGATACTTGAGTCTGAGTTGTACTTATTACATGTCAATTGAGGAGTCTAATTTACTTGTTATATTATATTTACTTTGAATTATGATGGATTACTATATGTCATTGTGTTTTATCTGGAGCCTATGAGATGGCTGTGTTGTCCTCAGGGCTGAAAAATCATGATGCCAAAGGTCATTATACCAAGGCAGGAGGGACATTGGAACATGCCCAATGAAATCACATCAAGCCATGCTACATCTATGCTATGTTGAGTAGCATGGCTGGAG